TACTTAGTAGTTGGGACATCCACCAGTTTATTAGTCATTTGTAACAAAGAACCAAAATTTAAGATGTTTTATACATAAAAAGACAAACAGTCATTACCGGCAGGCCCTGTATCTTGGGTGACGTACCCAAACAACGCACGCCCCTCCACAAACAGCTTATGGAAATCTGTGGATCCCATGAACCTGTGGAGGCTACAATAGTACCTTTGTCAAAACAAATCTAAGATACAATGTATATTGCATATCTGACAAAACCAATGACATGTAGTACAAATATGATTTTGCATCTGTGTTTAGTTTGTATTGAAATTGAATGAATTATCAAAAGCTGTGTACTTACAGTCTGCAAACAGCTTCAGGTTTACTCTGCCGAAGCCTCCACACCCAAGGAGGGCCTGCATGGCCGCTGTCTGGGTCTTCCACCGCCTCGGCATTTACTAGTCTTTGGGGAGCTTGGGTCTGTGCCGCTGCGTCATCTCCATCTGAAACTTTCTCATCTGGGCCTCGGCGTCTACCATTTTGTTTTCAATGACGTCAAGTTCGGCTTGTAGATCCCTGGCCTGCCTCTTCAGTTGCACTCTGTCGGCCTGGACCCTCCTTGCAGCCTCGACTGCTGCTACTTTCTCCGCCTGGGCCCTCCTTGCAGCCTCGACCGCTTCAATCTACTTTCTCCGCCTGGGCCCTCTGTGCCATCTCTTGCTTGGCTATTCCAAGCATTCTCCGTTTGTTTCCTCTGTTCTCTCGTTGACGCTGTTTCGGTATTCTGGACTGGAAATAAATCTCTGTTACACAGGATCGGATGCTCGAATCTTGCCGCTCTATTCTGATGTAAATTAGGTCTGGGTAAACAAGACGACATTTCGTCGCCAGACCCACGGCTGACTTGTTTTGCATTTATTGAGAGTTCACGCAAAAGACAAAGGGGTGCAAGGTTGTATTAGTCAATAGGGGGAGAGTCAAGTGACAATCTGTGGTGAATAAGCTCTATCTTTGAGCCTGTTTAAAGTGTTTTAGGATTAACTCTTAAGCTGCCGATTCCGGATATATCCGGGATCACCATACATCCCCTGCGTGCCATGCCCGGATATATCCGGGATAGGGTATTCCCCGGGAGAACATAACATAGCTGCGTGTTTAGCGAGCCAACCCGGAAGTTGACTGGCGACAGTAAGTGAGGGCAGGTCAGAGGTCAAAGTGGGTTGCGTAATCACCAACTACGTCATCCCACAATGCTTTGCGGCCTATAATTGGCACAAAATGGCGGAAGTCGTCTGTGTGTCGTCTGCCCAGGCTTTTGTTCTTTTGTTTACGTGTTTTGAGCGGTGAAATCGGACTGTTAGCGGCAAAATGCTGATGTTTACCCTCGAAGAACTGTTGGAGGAGGTTGCTACTGTTGATTTAGCCCATGGATAACGCATATCAGACGCCGATTCCACCGAGAGTAGTGAAAGTGAGACGGATTCTGAAGATCGTTTTAGCAGACGGGGGAGGAAGCGTGCTCGCTCGGAACCAGATAGTAGTGGTGAACGTGACAGTGACTATGAAGAGAAGAGACAAGAAAAGGCTCTAGTTTAATGTTTTGTTTCTTACTTTGATGCAGTGATATGTGATGATGAATGCATATATTTGATGTATGTTCCCACTGAATAAAAACCATCTGTACAATAATTGAGTCAAAATTTTAAAATGTAGGAACCTTGTTTATTTCGGCCCGCCTTGTTTTTCTCGCCCGCTCGCATTAGATTTGGAGTCTGCAGAGGATGTCATCCCTAAAATTTACTTGCTGTGGCCTTATTACAAATTCACCTGACTAAGTCCCACGAAAAATGGATTTACCATGCACTGGGCAAAATGGCCACGGATCCCGGCAGATACCGTCGCATCCGTCAAATTGATCCGTCACGGATGCGGAAGATTCCGAACAAATGCGAACAAATGCCAAATCCGTGAAGGATACGACAAAATACCCAACGGATGTGATACCGTATCCGCTCGGATAGCAGATACACTATGGATACGATGTTTTATATGCTCGAATCCCTAACTGTAAACGAATACGGATATATCATTTGCACGAATCCTTAAATAAAAACATTTGCAAGGATCGAGAGGAATAAACTTTTTCATTCACTCATTGAATTTTCTTATTAACATAGACAGGTTTGACAGTGCCCACACTATCAAAAAAGTACATTGGTGGTTATACGGATCCTATAAAATCCACTATCCGTATCTTCTACGAATCCGCTGGCCAAATGAACAACCAGGGATCCTATCAAATCCGCTATCCGTATCTTCTACGGATCCGCTAGCCAAATGAACGACCAGGGATCCTATCAAATCCGCTATCCGTATCTTCTACGGATCCGCTGGCCCAACCCACGACCAGGGATCCTATCAAATCCGCTATCCGTATCTTCTACGCATCCGCTAGCCAAATGAACGACCAGGGATCCTATCAAATCCGCTATCCGTATCTTTACGGATCCGCTAGCTCAACGCATGACCAGGGATCCTATCAAATCCGCTATCCGTATCTTCTACGAATCCGTTGGCCAAATGAACGACCAGGGATCCTATCAAATCTGCTATCCGTATCTTCTACGAATCCGCTAGCCAAATGAACGACCAGGGATCCTATCAAATCCGCTATCCGTATCTTCTACGGATCCGCAAGCTCAACCCACGACCAGGGATCCTATCAAATCCGCTATCCGTATCTTCTACGGATCCGCTAGCCAAATCCACGACCAGGGATCCTATCAAATCCGCTATCCGTTTCTTCTACGGACCCGCTAGCCCAACCCACGACCAGGGATCCTATCAAATCCGCTATCCGTAGGCAAATTATGACATAACATCACCAATTCACACACGACTTTTGATCAGGTATGTATCTCATTATTTGGAACGACTCAATTTTGTCAAGTGAGGCAAAAATCCTTCTGTACAAGAGTGGACCAGCAGATACGTTGTCGCATCTTTGGGGTATTTTTATGTATCCTTTAAGGATCTGGGATTTGTTTGCATTTGTTCGGAATCTTCCTGTATCCATGACTGTGTGCAGTTGACCAAAAATGCTCTTTTTGTCTCATTTATGCAAATTATGCCGTATCATCACCAATTCGCACACATGTACATCGGGGGCATTGCGGCACCTGATTAAAGTCGTTTCGAGCAAAACACTTGTCGTTTTGCGAATTCCAAATTTTCAGACCAAAAATGCTTCTTTTCGTCTCATTTATGCAAATTATGCCGTAACATCACCAATTCGCACACATGACATCGGGGGACATTGCGGCACCTGATAAAAGTCGTTTGGAGNAAATCCTGATTTCGTATCTGCACATTCGCAGCAAATACGGGGGGATTCAGGTTTCGGATTCGTGAGGGATACGGGAAAATCCTGATTTCGTATCTGCACATTCGCAGCAAATACGGACGGATTCAGGTTTCGGATTCGTGAGGGATACGGGAAAATCCTGATTTCGTATCTGCACATTCGCAGCAAATACGGACGGAATCATGTATCGGATTTGTTGGAATCTGGAAAATTCGAATATCGTCCACACGTATGCGTCGTAAATACAGGGAATCAGCGGCCGGATTTGGTTAGGATCCAACAAAATTCCGACGTTTTAGCGTGGTTCACCTAAAGGATGCAAAAAGTTTCCTACAAAAGCCGTCATCGCATCTGCGAAAAATACGATTTTCGGATTTGTCCGCATCCAAAACAGTCCGGATTCAGGGATGCGAAATTTCGGATCCGTAACAAATGCGAGCCGTATCTGCCGGTATTTGCCTGTATCCTTGTAGGATGCGGCGAAATAACGGCCTGGATATGGGTGTATCCGTACCTATTTCGTCCAGTGATGAATCGTGCTAAACTACAAGAAATCACGCACACACACGCGCGCGCGAACACACACACACTCACACACACTCACACACGCACACACACACACACACACCAAAGCTACCCGAAAACTTGGCCAGCATAAACAAGCTGTGTTTGAACTTAACGTGATGAGTACACAGGAACTTCTGTGGTATAAATGGAAGTCATGAGAACTGTACACAGAAACCCGTTGCTGAAACTGGAAACCAGTCTTTTGTTTCCTTTATGAATAGCCAAGTGTACACAACTGTACACCAGCGCAACAGTAGTACATAAAGTAGTGATCGTGGAAGGTGGAACATCCTAGCTGCAACAGTACCGAACAGTGCAAACAATGTACTACACAGCAATAAAGATCAGTAAATAGCTAACAGTCAGTTAAGAATAGGTACAAGAGAACGCAGAGGATGTCATCCCAAAAATTTACTTGCTGTGGCCTTATTACAAATTCACTTAGTCCCACGAAAAATGAATTTACCATGAATCGTGCTAAACTACAGGAAAGCACGCACACAACCGCGCGCGCACGCACACACACACGCACACACACACACACCAAAGCTACCCGAAAACGTGGCCAGCATAAACAAGCTGTGTTTAAACTCAACGCGATGAGTGCACAGGAACTTCTGTGGTATAAATGGAAGTCACATGAGAACTGTACACAGAAACCCGTTGCTGAAACTGGAAACCAGTCTTTTGTTTCCTTTATGAATAGCCAAGTGTACACAACTGTACACCAGCGCAACAGTAGTACATAAAGTAGTGATTATGGGAGGTGGTACATCCTAGCTGCAACAGTACCGAACAGTGCAAACAATGTAAAACACAGCAATAAAGATCAGTAAATAGCTAACAGAGTCAGTTAAAAATAGGTACAAGAGAACTGTGCGGTACTTTATCACAAATATAATATAATATTATACCGCATACAGAAACCCTTTGCTGAAACCCAGTCTTTTATTTCCTTAATGAATTTAAAAACCTAGAGAAATGTTCATGAGTTCAGTATAGTAGAAGTGGTGATTATTAAACTTAGGTTGCAAATAATTTCTTCAATATCTTCTGTTGCTCTCGATATAAATAAAAGCAGGGCCCAGAAGTGCACAAAATGCAGGTTTATTCCTTTTGTAACACACAGCAATAAAGACAAGAGAATTACCAAGATTAACAGCCAATTTTGCATGACTTTTAACTGGATCACATCGAGCCAGGTGAAACCGTACAGATTATCAGAAAGATTTAAAAACAAAACAAAACATTGCTACAGTGACTGGCGCTTCGCAAATGTGTTGTAAACCGATAGTACTGGTTTTCTATCATAGCCTGTTGGCCATCGATAAGTAAAGCTTTACACATAGTATTGAGGTATCAGTTAGGCAGCCAAACTTGTTCAGATCTACAAGTCCTACGAGTGTTGAACGGCGTTTCTGACTACTAGTGTGTTTATAGGGCGCGTATATATAGAAATACAAAATTCTTGATCGGCTCAGAAAACACAGCATACTACGTCGTACTGCTCTCTAGGTCTGTTGTTGTCCTCATCTGGCAGTTTCTCACTAGCTAAAAAAACAACCTGCTTTAAAATCCCGGAAAACGGTTTTAAGTATCAAATCTCTTAATATTTTTATCCGCTCACAGATCTCATTGAAAGCTTTATTAAGGATTTTCGACGTGTGCATCAAATCAATTAAATGCTATATGGTTGCGAAATCTGGGGTAAAGATTTTTAAAATGACAACTGTCAAGCAAGCCGAAGCTAATTGAGTTACAAACTTCAAACTGCTACTGCTTAAAGCACAAAGGGGGCCTGGCAACGATGCATGCCTGAGCTTGGGTACGTCATGAAGCATGCATAGCAGTGGATGATGTCATCCTTCAGTCGTCACAGCAAACAAGGCCCCTCACACGGCAATCTGCAGTTGAACAGTGTTGTGTTTTAGTACCAACCGGGATTCGTGTATATCGCAGCAGACGTAGGTGAAGAAAGGGATGAGGAAAGAACTCGTGTCTTTTTGGTAGTTGCAGACAAGAAATAAAAACGATACCGCGTCTTATTTTATATTTGTAGGTAAGTAATAACACATCGCAAAGTTATTTGAAATGAAATGGGTTCAACAGGGTTGCCAACGTGATTCAACGTCACTAATAAAATTGCACTGTATTCCGTAAAATTGCACTGTATACTAATACAATTGCACTCTATTCCGTAAAATTGCGCTGTATACTAATACGATTGCACTGTATTCCGTTAAATTGCACTGTATACTAATGCGATTGCACGGTATTCCGTAAAATTGCATTGTATACTAATAAAATTGCACTGTATTCCGTAAAATTGCACTGTATACTCTGGCACCCCTGTTCGATAATCAGACAAACCGTTTCTGACGTACCGCATTTAGAGGCCGAAGTCGGTGTGGATTAGGGTTTTATCCCGAGCTTGGCGAGGATCCCATCATTTTCGGCCCTCTCCTCTGCCTCATAATTCACCTGGGGAACATCTTGGGAAATACAAAGAACAGTCAACATCACATCCCTAATCTCTTGATCATTAAGCTTATCCTTATTAACGATTCTTACTTCCAACATCTGCTTGGAGATTAAAGAGTCTGTAGAACGCAGTCTACTTTGGGACTCCTTGCCGCTATGGGGTAGTTTGCCGTGAGGAAGGTTGCTGAGGATCTACCGAAACGTCGGCAGGATTTAGATACTTCCGAATCATGATAAATAATAATAAATGATGTTTATTGGCCAGAGAGTACCCGTGCAGTCGCAGCCTATATACAGCAAGCTATCACATAATAATCAATAAATAGTCACAAAAATCAAATAATACACGATACACAGATTTGTTTCACATTTTTTGTGTGGAATTGTCGCAAGGGTCTTTGCGGCTGCTATTCGGCGCCTCAATACGACTTTCCTCAACCCAAGTTAGGTACCCATTTACATCCCAATGGAGTGAGGAAAGTCGTGTAAAGTGCCTATCCCAAGGGCACAACGTCGGGACAAATGTTCAGACATGTCCCGAGTACAAGTCGGGATCGAACCCGGGTCTCCCTATTTCATAGTCGAATGCTATACCACTGCGCCACCCGACGCCACATCACCATCATCGGTCGCCTGTATTTTTGTTATAGTGCCCCTAAAGGTTTGACTATCCTTTCGTTAGCTTAATACAAGACGGGGTGCACCAGGCACCGGGTGATGATGTCCATCACCATGTGACTGATACGAGACAGGGGTGGTCACAGTGGTGGGTTCTTTAACATGCGTGTGGTGTGGCTCTCCCAACACACACGTAAACGGGACCTCCATTTAACGCCCTCTCCAAGGGATATCCCTAACTGAACCTAGGTACCCTTTACAAACGAGTGAACTGGGGCAAGCCGTCGAAAGAGGCTTTCTCAATAACTAAAGATCGGTGACATGGGATGATTTGAATCCAGTATCTCAGTCTCGCCACATGACCCCATTTTTACGTTTGCCAGCATCATTCAGTCAAAGAAAAATACATTTGTTCCATACGATTTCGTTGAGCAAAAAGACAACACTGGCAAACGTAAACTTTTTAAAGCACTTGTTTTTCTATCGTGTACGTTATTTTTGTCCTGCATACTTTCTATTTAGTCTTAGTTTTTAATGCTATTCGCTACTCGGTAAGATTGAGGATGACGTATGTTCTACAATACCTGCTGTCAGGTCTCGAGCCTTGCGCTCTGCTAAGGCGCGGACGGCGTGCTGACGGTTGATGCAATGACACAGTGGCAGGCACAGGCATTCCTCAGCGTCATTCACTGCCACCATGGTGACCAACAGGAGCAAGATCGTCAGCGATCCCTTCATCTTCGGCCTACTCGAGTTTCAGATACCGACAGTAGGGTCTAATCGACTGTGTCCTTCTTCCCGGTCTAAGACGACTGGTCAAGTTGTGTGCAATAATCTACCTCTAGCCAACCTTAGCCAGGGCGCAGCAGTAATATTATATTGTGCGCGAGCGTCTTTGTGTAGATAGTGTTTGCTTAAACCCCAGGTAGGGTGCATACAACAATGAATTAAGTTTAACTTTACGTTCAGTGACTTGTGTTAGATGAATGGACATTACTTGAGAACTCTTTGGGTCTGTATCATGAATAGAATATTATACGGTACACAGAGAAATTGGATGCTAATCCTTTGTGTCCCTTATGTTTAGTCCAAGTCTACAGTGTATATATAATGCTACATGAGCGAAACAGTAGAAGTGGTGACCATGAATGGTGTTGCAAGGGTTTTGTTCTTATTTGTACCTGTTGATCCCGACATACAAAAAGACAGAGCTCAGTGGTGCACATATGTACAGGAGTGCAGTAGTAGCAGCGGTGATCATTGAAGGTGCATGGTGCAAACATTTTGTCAATGATTTCTGTTGCTCTCGATATAAAAAAAGGCAGGGCACAAAAGTGCACAGAATGCGCGTTCTTTCTTTTGTAACACACAGCAACGAATATAAAAAAATTATCAAGATTGAGAGCCAGTTTAATTTTGTAAACCTTTAGTATTGGCTTATTATTATAGCCTGATTTCACTTGGCCATCAATAAGTATATCTTTGCACATGGTATTGAGATGAGTGTCAGTTAAACAGCCAAACTTGTACAGACCTACACGTGCACGTCCCTTGAGTGTTATGCAGTGTTTTTTTTATTCGTCCGCGTAACACATAGTTAATAATGTTAATGTTACTGATCATTTTGAATGGTAAGGCCAAGCTAGATGTTAAAGGTAGCACTATCATTCGCAATACAGGACAGCTTTGTAGTTGAATGAAGAAAGACATAGTAGTGATGACATTTAAGTATTAGAACAATCCCAAAACGATTTTAAAAAACCCTTAGACCTGTTTTGGCCTTCGATCCCTTTTTTTAATAGCCAAAACAGGTACAAGTTAATTCTTTTATGCTCGGTTGGGTTAAGGCAGCCTATGGCCAACTATGATTAGTATTTCATACATATGGCTGTAACTTTTGATAGCTTGGTCGCACCACAACTTAACTTCACACAGTTCTAGTAGTACTTGAAACACATTGAATAAAGGTTATTTTGTTTTTACTACTTCTGAATTTTTGGGTTAAAAATCAACATTTTGGTTATAAAAAAGCTGTTTACTTCATGGCTTTACGCGCAAGCGGTAACAACACCTTTCATCATGATATTTTACAGGTAGAAAGCCAACCCCCTATTTATTATTTTTGTCCGAGGCTATTTTGTTTTAAATGACAGTTAAATTGTTTTTTTGGGCCAAAAACGACAGAAACAGCTATTTTTCTGTCATTTTTCGTTAAAAAATCGCCACAGTTAAAAAATTTCGACTTATATGCAAAATAGCCTCGGACAATTTTGTTAAAAAAGTGATAATACGTAAACATGGATTACTCTAAGGATGAATTATGTTGTTTTCAGCTGCGCGTAAAGCCGTTTAAGTCATACTCCGTGAATAAAATGCGTAACAACGCGGGTTTACAGGGGAAACATACAAATGACCGCCGGTAACCCCGAATTCGAACACGCGTTCTATTCGAATGACGCCATATCGAACATGGTGGAACATGATTCGGGTTCGAAACATGTATGTGGCAATCGTGCAGACACACGTCCGAACTCGAACATGAATATCAGCCTAGGCCGCCTTAACCCAACCGAGTGTGCTGAACTAAATACTAATACTAAACTACCTCACAGTAATGTTTATGGCCATTGGCCAGGCCCAAACATTTGTAAAGGAGAGGTGGTATGACGTCAGAGGGTAATCTGTAGACAAACAATAGGCAGACATGCCGGGTGGCGAATAACACACGGTGGACAGACGGATGGAGACGCGACAGTCGTGATTTGTGATATCTCCTGGCCTCGGTGTCCGCGGAGCTTCTCTGGCTAATGGATATATACTCGGTTGGGTTAAGGCAGCCTATGGCATACTATGAGTAGTATTTTATACATATGCCTGTAACTTTTGATAGCTTGGTCGCACCAGAACTAAACTTCACACAGTTCTAGTAGTACTTGAAACACATTGAATAAAGGTTATTTTGTTTTTACTACTTCTGGATTTTTGGGTTAAAAATCAACATTTTGCTTAAAAAAAGCTGTTCACTTCATGGCTTTACGCGCAAGCGGTAACAACACCTTTCATCATGATATTTTACAAGTAGAAAGCCAACCCCCTATTTATTATTTTTGTCCGAGGCTATTTTGTTTTAAATGACAGTTACATTGTTTTTTTGGGCCAAAAACGACAGAAACAGCTATTTTTCTGTCATTTTTCGTTAAAAAATCGCCACAGTTAAAACATATCGACTTATATGCAAAATAGCCTCGGACAATTTTTATAAAAAAGTGATAATACGTTAACATGTATTAGTCTAAAGATCAATTATGCTGTTTTCAGCTGCGCGTAAAGCCGTTTAAGTCATACTCCGTGAATAAAATGCGTAACAACGCGGGTTTACAGGGAAAACATACAAATGACCGCCGGTAACCCCGAATTCGAACACGCGTTCTATTCGAATGACGTCATATCGAACATGGTGGAACATGATTCGGGTTCGAAACATGTTTGTGGCCATCGTGCAGACACACGCCCGAACTCGAACATGAATATCAGCCTAGGCCGCCTTAACCCAACAGAGATATACTGCCTGGCCAATTTGATAGTCTTTTTGCCACCGAGAGGGATCTGCTTGGAGATTAACTCAGTGTCCAACTGACTGGAAATGTGGCAGAAAAACTCAGCATAAGATAAAAAAATTGAATTTCCATGGATAAAAATTGGCCCTGGCAAGATTGGGTTCTCCCCTGTCTCTACGCTTAACAGCAAGATGTTTAAAGGCACTGACTGTGACGTGGACCTCCCCGAGATTGTACATCTTCTCAAATGCCAAGACTCTATTGATGCCTGCCGATCCGGCATAACTGTCCTTTTGTATAACATGTTAGTGTTGGAACGTTGTCCTTACTGGAGCAAACCCTTTGGATGAAGGGATCATACAATACTGTTTGTGGCGCCTGTATGTGGTCTGCAATGTTCCATGTCTGTTTCCTTCTGGTACATGGTCGAGAATTCTTTTGTGCGGAGTACCTAGCGTTCTTTACCTGCCTGCTATTCCTTGGTGCGTCAGCAGAGTACGCACTCTCCCTGGCACTTTCATGTTCCGGTACACCACTTGTGGCTTGTTTGTTTTAATGGCATCCCTTATAATTAAGTCCGCAGCAACGTCGGGTCGCATACGGACGTAAGCAGCTCCCTCGGGTTTGCTGTTTCCATGGGGGGGCATCTCCTGGATAAGATCCCTTGTACGTCGATGAAGGTTAGACATCCAGGTAATACGATATGCCAAAAAACAGTTACTCAAGCAACTGGATATGATTTCGTCACTGACGAAAGCTAGTGGATACTAGCTGAAACGTCTGACGTTTTCAAAATCATATCCAGTTGCTTGAGTAACTGTTTTTTGGAAGATCCCTTGTATTCCGATACAGGCTACCTGCCTCGTGGCAACCGTCGGGTTTTCCAACCAGGAAACCCTCTTTTCATATCTTTCATCCCGCGCCAGCCGTGAATAGTACCTGCGCACTACCACAACATTTCCCTCTTGTGGTTGTGGCTCCAGTGGATAGAAGACTGCTCTCTTGTTCCCCTGCCTCTCTAGACAATATTGTCCTTGGCGGAGCACAATCTTCTTCAGCCTTCGTCCTGACTGGGACAGAAAGTGCGTCAAAACGCCCCTACTCTTTGAGCTCCAAGCATAAGTACTAGCGAACATGTACTCCCTCCACATGGACCCCGCCTACTGGCCGGATCCGGACCGGTTTGACCCCGGAAGGTTTCTGGACGCGGAAGGGAACGTCTTCAACAAGCATGAGTCTTTCATGCCTTTTGGCGGAGGTGAGGCGTAGAGATATCATTCTTAGAACCGCAGTAATGATTGTATATCAGTTTCTTTTCGATAGTGGCTTATCTAACAACTTGGCGTCATTCATTTCCAGGCCGACGTGTGTGTCTTGCGGAGCAGCTGGCCAGGCTGGAACTTCTTCTTCTTGTATACTGCTGAGCCCAATTTGCATTGGATTACTAGCAGCTGCACATGTGTTAGTTACAAAACAGGTGAACGGTACAAATAAAAGCAATGGTAACTGAAGGAGGGGACACTACGGAACGTAAATAATTGAATCTGTGGGTGAAAAGACAAGACAGTGCATTTAGTGTGTTAGAACATATATACATATATACAAAACGTGTAGGGGCGACTCAATGCACCAGGGTCTTTGCCAGTCCAGTTTTGAACTGGGCGAGGGACCCCGCCTCCGCAACACCAGGCTCAAGTTCGTTCCTCTTTGATGGTACGAGGGAAGAACGAGAGCCTGTAAAAGTTGTTCCTACTCGCGATGGTCTGCAGCTTAGAGCGTGGTTGGTGCGGCGGGAGCATCGAGCCGCCGGGACAACTCTAGACGCGTGCGGCACAGAAATAATATTGTTGGTTATCTTGTACAATGTGGCAAGTCTGGCGTTCTTCCCGCATCCGTATAAAGTCTGTGCGATCCCGCGTTAGTTTGGTGGGTTTATGGTATAGGGAAATATTGGATCTTAGCTAATTTAGCAACTACCTCTACAATATCCATTTGGAAACTTTGAGTCAATGCCGGCAGCTTTCTTAAACATCCAAATGTCATGTATTAACATAATATATGAATAGCTTTAAGTAACTTACACATGTCAAAAGGCCTAAAATTTCCATTAATCACTTTTAAGAAATCACAGAATTAACGCTTCATCTGCATAATTTGCATTTAATTATGTACATCTCTCTTAATGGTTCCGGGTTGGAATTAAATCTGACCGGAGACTAAATAGTGCGCAGCAAATTGTTGGAAGTTTGGCACCTCAGTGCTCGGTGATTATTAGATTTTAAAATAGTTTCTGAATTGACAAATAAAGCTTGGGGTTGTGGTGTTTTTC